CTGGGTTGATGACGTCCCCGAAATGAGCTCAGGAAGGAATATTATGTCAAGCCCTGTAGGAGGATGTGTTATCCGACATAATGATTAAAGATCTGAGTGGTACTAGTTTCAGAAATGAATAAGAAGTTGATTAATTATTTTGTCAGTAATTTAATTAATCAACGGACGTTATATCTTAAACATGGGGAGATAAATCGATCAATTGGATTAATATATTTAATCAGTGGAGACGAACTAATTGTAATTCGGAGCTAAATGGGGAGAGCAATAATATTACTCTAGTGGAATGTTTTATTATTTAATTCCAATATTAAGGAATTAGGAATTAATTATATTCCATAATTCCCTAAGGATGAGAATATTCCTTCTAGAATATTACCTAGGGTTAGGAGACTATGGAGTCTTCTAGAAGGTAATTAATTATTAGGAATATTATCCTAGATGGGAAAAGGAGATGGAAGATAATAAGGATTCCTAAACCTTAAGAAATAAGCCCATATTTAGCACCTCCTTTAGGTCCCTATTGTAGCCTATAAATACACTAGGTCCCCTAACCTCTTGGACATGCTTTACACGTTTTTCTCCCCGAAGGGCTGGAGAAATTCGGCCTCTTCAAGCGAGAAAGAAAGAGAGAGATTCTTCTTCGAAAGAAAGTTCAGTTAGCACCGTAAGGTCTTAGAAGAAGATGATCAAGAGGTTTTGGGAAATCTAATAAATCGCTCCACCAAGATTTATTAGAGATCGTGTAAAGGTCATACAATAGAAGATTCGAAGGTTGTTATTCGTATCCCGTCGAATAAATATGTTTGCAGCTCGTTGTCAGGTTCTTTATCTATCGTCCGCGTTAAATTGACGCAACAGGGCGCTTGATGCAGTGGTGTGCGACGCGGTCTCTTCCGTGAGGAGGTCGCGGGTTCGATCCCTTCTCCTTGCAAAAATAGGAGAATTTTTTGCCACCAGCAGATAAGAAATAGCGGGGGCCGCGCGGCCCGATTTCAGCCCGCGCAAAGACCGCGCACCTCACTGCTTGGAGCCCGCAAGAAGCCCGCAACAGCCCGCGCTCTCTGGCCCAATTGCAGCGTTGCCTACGGCCCAGTTGCTCACCTTGTGCGGCCCAGCGCGTCTTAAATCGTCCCAGAAGCTGTCAGCCTGGTCCAGCGTGTTCAAGTTCGGCCCAGACGTAACCAGTAGCTACCAGCCGGCCCAGATGGTGTCCAGCACGACCAGCTTGAGCCCAATGCGCACCAGACCGGTCCAGGCGGTCCATGCAGCTCCAGATCGGCCCAGCAGCGTGGCAGAATGGTTCAACCCGGTTCAAGTGGATCCAGAATCCCCGGTTCGAGTCCAAGATGGTTCCCGAGCGGTCCGAAGAGTCCAACTCACCTACCGAAGGTCCGAGACGATCCGATGAGCTTGATGAGCGCGATTGGAACACCATGGTGACTCGATTAGAATCGAGAAAGGCCAAGTCTAGCTGCCCATTAGACTTTGGTGTTCAGACGATCTCCATCAACGGAAATCAGAAACGTCTCAGAGTCGGCAAAAAATTTTAAACCGTAAGTCCTAATCCTAACTATAGATTCCGCTGCGTTAGGATTTATTATTCAATAGATTTGAATGTGCACATTGTCGACGTTCCTAATAGAACCCAACAGTAAACAGTTTGGTATCCTGAATTTACATCATTAGTGTATTGCCTCCGGGATGCTCTGACTTCGGGATCATTGGCGTCCCCCTGGGAAAACCTCTGAGGTGAGATTTATTCTGTTTCCCATTGAAAGACTTATTTTTCTTTTTATCGTCTGTCCCCGACTTAGATTGTTTTGGAGCGAAATTAATATCGAGAACAGACATGGCTTCCTCGGTGATAATATGTTGTTGAGCTCGGGCTAGAAATTCCAGGAAAGTATTTGGCTTATTTTGGCATAATGTCCAGCGGAATATAGAATTCGGTTTCAATCCGGCAATTGCCATGACAAGTAAGGTTTTGGGATGGTAAGGTTCCATATTTTGAACTCGGTCATTGAATCGAGCGATGTAGTCTCTAACGCTCTCATCATCTTTTTGGTTATGTTAGCAAGGGATTCTTTTGGAACCAAACTTACTTGGGCCCCAATGATATGAGATCGAAAAGCTACCTCAGTTGTTGCCACTTCTAGATAGAATGAGGGGGTAAAGAGTGGTACCATTTTTTAGCTCGGGGCCCCAAAGTAAGAGAAAAAATGCGGCACCGGAGTGCATCTGAAGCTCCATGAATGTCCATCAAGGAGATGTAATGACCGAGATGAGAATTGGGGTCCGATGTCCCATCATATAGTCTGATTTCTGATTTTGCCCCGGGTGAGTAGAGTTGATTTTTATTTATGAATTGGACCTCAGAATATCTACAAATACTTCGGCTGACTTTGTGAGTCTTTTGTTTGTGCAGTATATTATCCATTGCTCGGATTTTATGGTTACCAAATGTTAAAGAGGCTAAGGAGTTCAGGCGTCACTTTCCGAATAAAGACCTCCAGTCGAAGTTTGGTAAGAGCCGCGAATTAAGGTTAACCAACGTCATGAGTAGAGATTCGGTTAAGGCCTTGGTAAAAAGAACTGCGGGAAAGAAGTCGGTCGATGTCGGAGCTAGCGCGACGTCGGTGATTAATTTGGAGAGTCCAAAGTCCCATCAAGAAGAAGTGTCTTTAGATGTTCCACCGGTTATCAACGCAGTGGCGATTAACCAAGCCGAGCCAGAAGAGAGTCCGGTGAGAAACGAGGTGGGCTTGGCGGAACAGGCGCGTGTCGAGGTGCCAATCGAAGAGCTTGAAAAACAACAATCACCCCTGAAGTCTCCCGAAGCCTCTCAACCGAAGAAGAAAAAGAGAAAGTTGGTTAAAATGTCTGCCGGAGAAACCTCCACTGCTGAGGAGGGGAGGACGAAAAAGAAGCATGATTCCGGTCGGTGTGATGAGGGGAAGAAATCGGATGAATCCCCATTGGTTTTTTTTTTTTTTGTACCAGTAGTTATCTTCTTACAGATATATATATATCTTAGTCTCTTCATTACAGCCTGGGAACAGTACTAAATGTCTAAAATCGACAAAAATGAAAGATGACCCAAAATTTACTAAAAAAAATTAAACCAAGAAAAAAGTTGTGAAAAATCTGACTGCGAAAATGATATTTGGAACTTTATAATCCAACTTTCTAGGTCAGCTAATAGAAATACTATCCTTAATCACCCAGATTTTCTGTTTCAACATCAGAATGTAACATATATTGCCCGACAAAAGAGGGAAAAAATAAAACATCAAATTCTTTATTCCCACATCAATCAACAATCGCAATTTTTCTTATCTTCGGCTTCTTTCGAAATTACCCTTTCACGCCACCCTTTTGCACTGGAATGAAATAAAAGTTGATCTTGTAGGCGCTTTACTTACAAAAAGCAGAATGCTACACGAGAAATGGGGACAAATATATGCTGCCACTTGAAATTGACCAAAAACATCAGTACTGAAAGTCAATGGTCCTCGATTCAAATAGATGTATAATTGGGGAAGAGCCGAATTAGCTTCTGGATGGTTTCAGGCATAAATTTCCTCCCAAACAAATAACAGGGTCGTGGGTTTCTGTTCCACAAACATGGTCTGATCTGAACTTCTTTCTTGTCCTCGCTGGTCACGTGCACACTGTCCATGATAGATGTAATATTTCTCATCAGCTCAAATGTTACATCTTGTGCACTATACGACTTTGGATGCCAATTGCCCTCGGACCAATCAACATGGGTTACTGACCAATTGGCTATTCTGACAGGATCAAGCATATGGAAAAAAGTAGGTAGATAATGTTCATCAGAATAACAGTTGCGTCCCTTTTCCATGCCTGGCCTCCAATAATCTCTGAATTTACTGTAGTAGAGGCTGTCAGCCATGATTATAAGAGCATGTTGTCGCTTCATAGTGAACCACTGAGCACCCTTCCGAAAGTCTTTCTTCTCTACTTCAGGCAACATATTTTCACTTTATCTGCCAGTTCCATGTGGACCAGGATCCTCAAAGCAATCTACAAAGCTAACATTTGTGAACATGAGATAGTTGTAAACATAATCAAAATCTCGAGGCGGTATGCAGCTGTCTGAAAGTAGTACAAAATGCTGGTTGTCTGGATCTTTTAATGCATTTGCTAAAAGCCGCCTTTCAGCATCAACCATTGAAAATTTTCCCCACGCGACCTTGATGCTACGAATCTTCCGATTAATGAAATGGCAGCTAAAATGTATAGGTTTATCTTTGGATGCATGCACGTAGACAGAGAACCTACCTTCATGGCCCTGTAAAAATTTATCCCAGAGCCTCTCAAATTGTAGTGCACCTGGTGTAAGGAACAGGAATGCAATTTTGGGGCTCGCAGAAATATTAGGATGCATAGCCAGAATATCTCTAATCACAACATGAGAAGCAAATTCATCATCACTAAGCTCCCTAGCAGGCACGGGTGGAAGCCAATCTTGTAATGCCTTACAGCCATGAGACGACAACAAGTAACATGCTGCAAAATTCTGAGGAGGATAGACATAAACACAAACTAGGAACAAGCTAACTAAAGAAACCAACACAATAATCCATGTTGGCTTCTTCAATTGACCACGCTGGCGAGGCCCTGGCAACATTTGCATGTTTTTCATGCCAAGACGCCATGCCTGAGCTGAATTCATGTAGAAATGATGCATCACAATTTTAACTCCCACACATTGTTTGTATCTTCTACAACAGTTTGCCCCAAAGTTCAAAATCAAATGCAATAACCTAGCATATGTCAGAGAAGACAAAGGTACTCTGGAACCTATAAGAATCTGAGCCTGATAAAATCCGACAATGAAGAGACATAAAAGGAGATCGGTCGCGTATGTGTGTACCTACGCATGCAAATATAGCGACACTACATGTGTGTTAAGATCTAGTGCACGCTAAATGATTGAATCCAAATCATGAATCCCCACTGGTTGAGAAGTCTTTTCTCTCTACTGACAAAGAAAGGGTGGCAAACTTAAATGTGCCAAGAGGGGCAGTTGAAGAGTGGTTTACCACTTTCCAGTCGGTTAAAGTGCCTCGAATTGATGCAAGAACTATTGTCCCTGAAAACGCCATAAATGCAGCGCAAGTTCCTTTGATGGCCTGGGATCTGATGTCTGAAATCGGAGTATCATCGTTGTCCAGCGTGCACAAACTTAACTATGCCAAAGCTTGTATGGGCCGAGCACTAGGTAGTCTTGTTGCGGCCGAAGACGATCATCGGAGGATTGTTGCGCAACTGGAGGAAAAAAGACACACTGTGGCCTTGCTGTATGGTACTATTGCATCTCTGCAGGAGGAGGCGTCGAAAGCCGATGTGGCTTTGAAGGAGATGGTGTCAGATAAAGATGCACAAATTGAGGTGGCGCAAAAGGAAATTTCATCATTGTCCGAAGAGAAAAAATCTTTCCAATCCGAAGTCGTGGAGTTGAAGGCCCTCCTTGCTTTCGCTGAACAACACAACAAGTCTCTCGAAGTGAGACTTGAGGAAAAAGAGGAGCAATTGGTGAGGGAGCGGACAGAACACCAAGCCACCCGACGTGACCATCTGGAAAAAGAGACTTTATTGATCCGGTCTCGAGAGGCACACCAGTCTGAGCTCGAACGTCTTAACAAAGAAAAGGCCGAATATGGCCAACTCATGTACGCGACTGGATTGTAGGCCGGTAAAAATGCAGTGATCGAAAAAGAAGCAGTGCTGGTTGCGGATGAAACGTCTGCAATAGTTGACGGCAGTCCCGATTTGGATATGGAGATGAATACTTGTATAAATCTCCGATGGGTAATCGAGAGATGCAACACCGGATTCTATGAATTAGATGAGCTACGGATTTTACTTTTCCATAAACTGGAAAAATACAATTGACATGGAGATCAAAGGTATGCATATTGAGGCCGATGATGATGAGCGGGAATTTTGTGCTCTTATGCTCGATCGAGCCGAATATTTCACTAAGACGAAAAATCTTCCACCTCTCTCCAAGGAATGTGAAGCTCTTCTGCGTCAGGCCTATGTGAATATGATCCTGGAGGGCGAGGAGGAAAAGAGGGAGCAGCTGGCAGATATTTACATTGAGACTCTCGCCGATGTGGTCATCGAGCAGAACTTCGATGACATGACTCCCGAGCAAATCCGAAAGGCCGTTGCAGCTTATGCCGAAGAGAATGCCAAGATAAAAGAAAAAGAAGTCGGTGAAGTAGAACTTGTTCCCGAAGTGGATGAAGTGCCAGCTGATACTGTAATATCCTGATATTTTATCGGTATAAACTATGTTTTAATTCCGATATAATAATGATAATGTTTA